TACCGGTACCAGGGATCGAACTCACAACTGCCTGCTTGCAAGGCAGGCGCTTATGCCGCTGAGCTAAATCCCCAGCCCCATAAAAATTTCTTGACAGTCATCTATGTTTACTTCTAGAATATTACACAAAATTCAAATAAGTCACAAATAAACTTATTTTACTATCTTCTGCTTAGGAAAGGTCTGGCTTAAGTTTGTTGAGTCATTATGCCTGTGTGACGTTACATCATCAGTGATGGGAAGTGTGATAATGGGCAATGGTATGACAAAATACTTCCATTTACAGAATCAGTAGACATAGGGCGAAACCAGTATTTCACTTTCATCATTTCATCATCACAGATAATATCTGAATACATCCCGCAATGAAGCGGGAAGCGCTTCATTGAGTTTCATGCATAAAATACAGAAACTTTAATTTCTGTTCCATGTAGCTTTTGCAATCATTACTATGAAGTCACCTTTTAACACTCAAGTTCTACAGGAATAGTAATTAGCAGTATCTGTTTTATTAAATACTGACATGGGTTCTATGATAGCAAAACAGTGATTTTTTTAAAAAAAACTGTAATTATAAACTACACTTGTTCACCTCCCTTGTGCTATGAATCATTTTGATTTCATAGATGAGAAACAGGAACTAATAATTGGTAAATTGGGGATTTAGATGTAGATATCTAACTCCAAATCTAGGCTGTGCTTGTGCAAATAATATACACTTCAGTTTCAAAAACTAATAGGCAAGCTTCTTTTCCTTTATCTAACAACATATATTGATGTCTTTTTAGAAAAGATTTAAAACCAAAAAATTCCACGGAAAGCAAATGTTTAAAGGAGAGATGCACAGACAGTTGAGTATAGCCTTGATATTAGGCTTGGATATTAGGCTTACTTGGATATTAGGTTTCCATTAACTAAGGCAAAGCAAAACTCCTATTTCAACTCATACAAGAAAAGCAAGTACAGGATTTGGGGAACAGTAACAGTTTTGAATTGATGACATTCTTTCCCCATCATTTCCATCTGTCTTTCTAATTGAAGTCGACTTTATTCCTCTGTGGTACTTATCACACTTTCCCTTCAGATTATTCTTGAAAGGAAGGCAAACTTGAGTTTTATATGGGAAATGCTTACATAAAAATTGGCCTCAGGTTAATTAATGAATGTGGGTTCAAATTAGCCTTCTTTCGTTAAAGACATGAAATGAGCACATGGATCAGTAAAAATTATATTAACTACAGTGGATCTTCCATATGAGTAAGATGCAAGGAGGAGGAAGCTTTGTGAATTATCTAGTTGTGTTTAAATACATAAGACTGATAGTTTACACAGCAAATAATACACTCAGGATCCCTATATTTTTTATCAGAAAGACATAACTGTGAATAGGTTAAGCTGAACCTGAATAGAGAAAAAACCACAGGTTTATAATAAAATTTATACCTTATAAACACTGCATAAAAATTTGTTAAAATTTTGTTAAAAATTTGTCCCATGCTAAGGTAAATAAAATTTCTCTGAAAATAGAATTATATCCAAAAGTATTAGCATAAAATAGGGTTCATAGTTTCAGCATTATAGGGGTTCCTTATCCATTTATTTATTTTGGTTTATGTTGGCTTGAGTTGGGTTGGAAATTTGTCCTTTTTATTGATACAGTGGTAAAACATGTAATGCATTTGGTTAAAACCATGAAAGGATAAGAAGACAAAACTTGCTTTTTACACTTAAAAATAAATGAAAAAATATTAGTGCTAGTTTTGCACCATAATATCTGGTAAATAAAAAATGAATGGAAGAAATGTACTCCAAGAAAATATTTATGACTATCATCTGATACTAATTCAAGTAACTTAGGAAACATGGATACTAATTCATTTCACAGACAGTGATAATGGCTTATTTTTCTATAACAGAAAATTAAATGCTTTTTTGTGTCCTTAAAAACTAAATAGAGTTCTTCTTTTTTTGTTAAATGCCCTACCAAATTAAAAAATAAATTAATTTGATGTTAAATTCACTCAAATATGGGAAAATGTACAGATTTTTTTGGATCAAAATTGATTTAAGAAACATATTGTATTTCTATCTAAACATGAGAAATAATCATTGGTTTTATGGAGGTTTTTCCCGTTTTTAAATTAAAGTGCCTGTTTAATAATGGCCAGATACAAGAGGTATTCCACAAGAAATTATGGTAGAACAAGAGGAATTTTGAATGTTTAGAGTTTAGTCACAAACTTCACAGTTGAGTTCAGCAAACTCTTTAAATAGCTGTTTACTCTCTGTCCATGTTAAGTATATTCTCTAAAATATTGATTACATCAAGAACTCAGGGGTACTACAAACAAATTTCTGAGTGTCTTCATTAACACCATTGCAATGACACAGTTTATGTTTCAATGTTAAGGGCTACTGTCAATCATAAACAAAGACTAGGTTAAGAATAGAGCTGAATACTTGAGATAATGTTTGAATACATGTCTTTGTGAAGATTGACTCCCATCACCCTTATACAGCTAAAAACTAGAATTATATATTCAACATCCAAAATCATACACAAACTATAAGTTTTGTTTGGTGAATATCTATTTCAGTCCTTTAAACATAGTTGTGTTAATTTTTCTGGAAAGATCACTATCAAAAGTTAAACATGGATAAATCTGATAACATATTATTGCTATCCTGGCTCCAAATATGTACTAAATCAGAGATATAAAACAATGTCATTAAGTGGAATTCATTTAGTTTTGTATTTATGAAAGAATGTTCCAGATACACACAAAATGTATGAAGCAAACCTCTTTTTAATATTGTTTTAACATTTTAACCAGAATGCACTTGTTACACATAAAAACAGTAACATAATACATGCAGCTGAATGTAAATGTTCTCATAAACGTGCCGGTCTGTTGACATCATTTAAACCTTAATAATATTAAGGACCTACAGTTTTAAAAATCATATACATTGGCTATTCAGTTACTCTTTAAAAATGCAGGCTGAGTTATAATTATTTTTATTTTTCTATTTTTCTGAATTCCTTAAAAATGGTTTTATACACACTAACATTCTTCATTTTAAACTTAAAATAATGCTTTGATAGGTGCTAAAATATTAGAAAAAAGATCTTGTAGCAATAATCAAAATCACATCTCTTAAAAACAATGTTTTTGGTAAAATGTGTATGAATTCACATTACTCTTATAATTTATCACTGCTATGTTTTACATGTTTAGAAATTTTTGAACCGATTTTCCGATGCCATAGGGAAATCTCTAGAAAAATAAATTGTGTTTATAGCTAAAAGCATACATTGATACTCTGATATCAATTTTAAAACACAAAATTTATTAGATAGTATGAATACACAGTTCAAATTTATTTATTTATTCAAATAGTAATAATAATGAGTTTCTGCGATCCTTAAAACACATAGTCCAGTGTTTTCCAGTTGTATTTTGATAATAAAGATTTTAAGTCATGCTATGAATATAGATAAAAACAATTAAATGTTGGAAGAGAATTATATATTTGGGGTTAGCAATTAAATACCATTTAGAAAAGTTTAGGGAGTTAATCTTTACAAAATACCATAATAATATGTCCCCTTTGAAGAAAGTCTGACTTGAAATGATGCTGGTCTAATTTTTGTTACAAACCCAGGAGATTGGGTCACTTAATGCCTTTTTTTCTTGTTCTTCACGAATTACCCAATGACTATAAAACACTTCCCTCCCCTACATACACGTCAGGGGACTCAGTTGTAGAATGTGAGACTGAAAGGCGATAGAAACCAGACACAGCACTGTCAGAGTACGAAGGTAAGAATTAATGAGCCTTTCCAGCAGGCTGGGAAGCCTGTGGGAAAACTGAGGGGCAGAGGACCCAGGAGTCACTCCGGATGAGGTGACAACGCCTATTATTAGTGTGCCAGAGCCTGGGTGACAAAGCACGGATGCTTTCACTGCAGTCTGGCAAGGCTTAATGCAAGTTAGAAAATGCATTCTTTAAAAATTATGCCCGTCCACACGCTCTGAACCTGAATCTGACATCTAACTTTCTCTAGCAACAGACCTGTGACTTCCCTACCCCTAAACTTCACAGCCGCCGGCTCCTTACACTGCCCAGGACAGCCTGTGCTGTGTTAACAGCGTTCACTGACGTTGCATCTCAACATTTCAGGGACTTCTATCCTAAAAAAATCCTTTTTGTATACATGCTTTACTTTCTCCGCTAATATATTCCTCTGGGAAAATTTTGCTATCTTTTTTTATCCACTGTTATCTCATTAACATACCTTCCCCTCTAAGCCCTCAGAGGGGCAACCAGCAAGTTGAAAAATGCCTTCTACCAGGTACAGTGCTAAGAGGCAGAATTAACATTTTACTACTCTAAATACAGCTGAAACAGACCAGGTTTCCAGAAAGAGGTAAACACTCTGGCAACAACCAACAATGAAAAAACTCCGTGAGTTCAACAGTTAGAGATGAAAATGTAAACAAAAGTGAACGGTAAATAAAAGGCAAATACAATAATTCCAGATGTATCACTTTTCTTTAACTTTGTCTTGTTTCTACTCCAGAGTTCAGGGTGAGACTCCACACACAGTTACTCCTCTGCCCCTTTCATAGAATCCCAATGATTTAATCCCGATGATTTCAAAGTTTAAAGACCCCTCCTGGGGGAGAAGTGTTTTCCAGCTGTGAAGATTGAGGCTCAGCTAGTAGTAACACTCACCATTTCATGCATTAAGGAATGTTCAGAGACATGCTTTCAAATCCATGTAGAGTTTTATTACTGGGTAAATCACTTTCTAGAATACCATAAATCGTATGCAGCAATCATAGATATTTCTATGTACTTTGAGATAATGTGCTGAAATAAGCATGATACAACAGCATTTCAGTGCTACTTACGAAATTCTTGGTAAAAACATTGCCAAACAACATGAGGAGAGTACTTATAATAAATATATTTACTTCAACAGAAGCACTTACCAGCGCAGCTCGTGAGGAAATTCTTGGTGAAATAGGCTCAGGATGGAATTTGATTTTCTGAGATACTGCAGCAGAGATTTATACCCAGGCAAGGTGGGAAGGAGGGAAAACTTGTAATGGGACCTGCGGGCGTGAGGGAGCTCCAGCAAGCGGAGCCTGACAGTCCCAAGGCAGGAGGTGACACTCTGCTGGAGAGAGGAGTTGTTTTGAGTGGATTGGAAGTGTTGTCAGATTGTAAGTGATCAGCAGAGAAGGGAAACATCAGAGCTTCCTGTTACATCACTCTGACCCCGCCTGCAGTTAGTGTTAGGTTACTTTGTTTCTCAAGTAAAATACCCCAAGAGAGGAGCAGAGATCCTTTCTTATGCTGAGACCGGAGCGAGAAGCAGCCCGTGCAGACAGAGCTGTAGGAAAGCATTGTTAGCAGCCAGAGCTGGCTTTCACCTGGACTGAGCTCTGTCAGAACTTGCCAAAGCAAGCTGCCTGTGATGAGGGAAATCTGAATATCAAAGAATCAAAGGTGTGTGTGTGTATGTGTGTGTGTGTGTGTGTGTGTGTGTGTGTGTGTGTGTGTGTGTGTTGAATTTGTGATTACAGGCATCTAGGAAAAAATTATCTAAACACATCTCTCTTCAGAAGTGAGCATGTGAAAACACTGCATTCATCTGAATTTATTCTGTGATCTGACTCATTAATTTGGAGATCTGACAAGCAGATTTTATTCTGCATTGAGTTTTCCACAATTAGATCAAGAATCTATCCTGCATTTTTTAAAAGTCTTTTTTCTTACTTTGTTCATGACATAACTGTCTGTATAGTTTCCAATGTTTTTGACATGATTAATATTTCTGATTCACTTTTATTTCTGATAGTAAACTTTAATAAATGAGAAAATTCATATTTTGGGCTTGTATGATAAAACTCTGCCCAAAGCTTTCTCTTCTTCAGTACATAAAGAGCTATTCAAACAGAGAGACTGAAGAAGCAGTATTATTTAAATTATTGATTAGGTATGTAGGCCTGTGGGTGTAGTCCATCAAGATTCTTGGATAATGTATATCAATATCATCTCTGTAGGTTACTTAGAAGTAAAAGGAAAATTACATCTCTGGAAATAGATCATTGGGAGTTGACATTTTATAAATGTCAGAAGAAATAAATGGTATGAGGACTTCGGGGAGATAATCTGACGGAGTATGTCATATTACCTCGGGGCCAGTGAGAAGACAGATGAGGAGAATGTCTGTAATGCATGTTTAAACATGAGAACAAATGTCTGGAAAACTGTGGCTGAACTTCGACTGTTTCCATAACCAATGGAGTGATTTGAACCAGTGTGGCATTATGTGTAACATATTAATTCAGCACTACAGGGGAGAGAGGTAGGAGGCATGCTCCAAAATTGTGAGGGTAAGAGACCCGTTGTCATTCATCTGTCTCGGGGTACCCCCTCTCCCTCCGAACACACTTAATCCTTCCTTCCTGCCCCGTTCTGAAGGAGATCTGGAATCCTTCTCATAAGCCTCTAGTTGTCTTCTCATGGTTGCCTGAAGGTCCTAAACCAATTCAAAATATTATGTTTCATGGTCATTTTAACTTTGTGAGAGAATGATAAGCCCCACAGCGTCAGTTCTGGTGAACAGTGAAGACACACCATGATGCATAGACCAGCCTGCCTTTCTGAAGGAAAATAGTTTGTCTTGTGCTATTTAATCACTGAAGCACATCTGAGGACCTCATAAAGAGTCAAGAGCCAAATTCTCTGCAATTAGCAGCGAGTGGTAATAGACAAGGTATAGGCGTAACCCAGCCGAGCACCGTCAACATCAACATAGATTTCATAAGTAGAGAATGTGTGTAAACAAAGAATGATGTTTAAGATAAGCAGTTGCCTTGGTCCATTTCAGGATTCCTTTACTTCAGACTTATGTAAAGATCCCCTAATTTTGGGGGATCTGTGCCTATAGGACCCCACTAGGAGCACAGGTTACCACGTGAAACTGATCAGTCAGGAGGGTATGGGTTCAGCACCTCCACATTCCTGTTATAGTGATTAGGTTACTTCAGACCAAGCTTGCGGTTTGATAAATTTAATTTTATATTGACTAAACTGGAGACTTTTTTTGAATTTGTGTGGATGCTGCCTTGGAGCACAGTTTTACTGAAGAAAAGAAAAAAGCAAAGCATGACAAAGCAATGAAACACCTTTGCATGAAGCACACGCAAGATGGGCACCTAGCAATTGCTGTTAGCACCACGTCAAACTGAAGAAGACTGTGAATCCAATGCTGAGTCCATGGTGGTGATTATGCTATTGGCTAGTTCTAAAGCTAACGGGCTAGCTTTACCTGAATTGAACCCCAAACTTATCATTGTAAGGGAAACACTAGCATTGCCTTAAAAACACTTACTTTATATAAAAACATGACAAGTGCAGAAAGCTGCATTTGAAGTGGGTAGTCAGTATATGTGGTCTGTATGTAAATGAACAAAACTCTTGTATTGCTCTCTGTGCAGTATTTTAGTGTTTGTAATGTGGCTTTTACAGGAGAGTCCAATAACATAAGGAAGAATTCACCAAATGTTACCTATTTTTGAAACTGATTCTTGTTAAACTTGAAATGATTTAGGTATTATTCAATGTTTATGATTCTTTGAAAGGGTGACTCTTGGTTGAATAAAAGCCAGTGCTAGCAAATAACACATGTGGTAGGTTCATTAACATTTTAGTTTTAAATGCAACAAGGTAATGAATGCTTACTTTAGTGAGGGTACAAAGTGAACTTTTTAAGAATAAACATGTTTTGATAGGGTAATCCTATTTCTCAGTTCCTTAGGGTAGTTCTAATTTATACACCCATACTCATGCTGTTCTGCCTTAATCATTGTCAAATAAGGTCGTGCTGCCATATTCCCATATGAATAAATAAGTTAATTAAGCTAATTTATTCATTCACAATTAAAAGTGAGTAGTTTAGTTTAGAAACTCAAATCTTTCCTCGGAGAGTTTAAAATGTCTTCCAATTTCTAGGATAGTTTTTATTCACATTGAAAAAGACGTCTTTTCATCTCTGAGTATGGATTTATTCTTAACCGATCCTTATTTGTGAAACATCAACCCTGATTGTGAAAATACAGGGTTTATTTAAATATGCATTTAGTATTTTTGCCTAAACAGCACTTGCTTAAATGACCAAGTCTTATATTTTTCTTAAATAATGTAATTTTTTGGTTCAGAAGGTGCCAGGAAGTATTAATGTTTTCCGGTACTAACAGATACTTTTAAAACTATTTATCATGATACTTATACAAGTTTTTAAAGTTACAGCAATTTGTACATTTCTCAATTTTCTTTAAAAACTCATCCCTATTATTTATCTGCACAGTTATATGAATTGCAAATGATAAAATATGAATTAATGCAGAAATACATACTTACATATGTTAAAAAATAAAATAATGTGTTTGTTTCAGTACTTTTGTGACTTTTGAGAAATTGCCAGATCTTTCTTTTTAGCTTTGAGGAGTTGGAATCTATAGTCTCATCCTGCCATCTAGTGTTAAATAGTCTCAGTTTAACAAGGAAAAGTTGCTTTTCAAAGGGAACAAAAGCAAAGTACTCTGTTCTTAAAAAAAATCTCAACAAGTAAGTTATCTAGAGATCTGACAGCTAGAGTTGTAACAGCAAGATATACTGATGCTCGATTATACAGTTAAAGCAAGTTTATGTGTAGTGAAAGAATATTCATTCCACAAAATATTAAGTGTCAAGGCAAATGACTGTTAAATATTAAAACATGACATAAATTAGAAATACAAGTTAAAATGGCACATCATCTTTAGTATATACATATATATATTCAAAGCCACACAACTCTGACACCCAGGGCTAGGCCAAATCAGCCAAACTCCTGCATAGCTGATTAGGTGCACAAATCAGATCTTCAGACAGCCAGTGCAGCACACCAAGCTCCACAGGGGCAGAGCCGGGGCCCACAAGCCAAGAGCACTGAGTACTTTGTTCCTCTCTAGAGAGAGACAGCTGAGGCCTTTGAAAAACAGGCGGAGGAGACCTTAAGAGGCCAGCAGGCAAATGGTTATTATGCACGCAGATAGACTCAGGGGATACGGGAAAGGGATGTGGGATGGCAGGGAGAGAGAGACCTGTGAGAAAAGCCAAGCTGTGACCCGTAAACGTCCCGATTCCCCACAGTCAGGAGATTCCATTTGTTTCGCAAACGCAGACTAATCCAGCATTGTAAAATCCTTGCAGGGAGGAGAACAGGAAACACCTGGGGCCTCGGCCTCTCTGGATTTTCTAAGAGGCACGTGGAGAGATGGAAGAACAAGTCTGCTCCAGACCCAGAAATCCGGCAGACGTGGCCAAGTGCACACACACGACCTATTAAGAAAGAGCAGTGAAAACCTGTCTCCCTCCTCAAGAGGAAGAAAGAAAGACATTTAAGGATCACGGAGTACCTAGAGGCCTCCTTTGGCCTTTGTGTTCCGTCCTGATCATCACCAAACAACCCAAGAACATCCAGCTTATCATGGTGACGCCCTGGTGGGACAGGGAGAGGCTTGGGGTAACTAACCCAGCTGCAGGAAAAATCAGAGAAGACCTGGTTCTCTACTGAGCTGAGGGAAGCCTGGCGCAGCCATAAGGCAGTCCTCCAGGCACAAGGCAAAAGAGGAGGAAGACAAGATGAAGATCTGATGAATGCACTGATCCTAGCAGATTTTTTTCTTGCTATAAAGCAGTTAACACTTCTGTACACATCTCGCTCATTTTAAGAAAAATACTGAAGTGTAAGACCATGTAAGATTGTTTTCAAACTGTACGGGTTCCTGTTTTAAATAGTTACACTGCCAAAGGTGCCATTGGAAAGCCCTGTGCGGTGATCTCTTCCTTGGCACTCACGTTGCCTAGTACCCTGCCGGGCTGTCAGTTGGCAGAGAAATTTAAAGCAGGCTCATGATGGACAGCATGGATTCGTTATGTTGGGGAGCGGTAGTAATATCCATCTGCTGTTGTCTTTAATGCAGCTTGTATGAATTAATTGCTGGGATTTTTGTTTGTTATTTTCTTTTCTTTTTTTAGTTTTAGTGCTGGGGATCGAACTTATGATCTAGCGCATGGCAGGCAAGCACTTATGCCACTGAACTAAATCTTCGGCCCCAGTAATTGCTGTTTTATTAACTGAATTCTATTCTGTAACTGCAAAGGGAAGTTTTGGCTGTTTTGTTGGTAGTCTGAATTTTTCTCAGTAAATATAATTTTTGTTAATAAAAATGTCATCACAGGATGATAAATGTCTTTCGGTTCTGATAAACAAGGTCTCCACTGTGTCCAGAAATGAAAGATATTTGTTCCACTATGGTTTGTTAAAAGTTCAATCATCAGTTTGCTGTGATCTTGCACTAACGTATTGCATTTCAGACCAGCAGCATTTTATACATAGCAGTGGTCTGCAAGATTTATCTCCATAAATGTTTTCGTCAGATCGCAACGTTTCTGAAGCAGAGTTATCCTTTAAATACAAACTTTTTCATCATCAACCATCTGCAATATATCCTTATACTAAAAGAATTTACTTTTTTTTTTAATTTTTGGATGGAAAAAATTTTCTTATTGTTGTTCCTGTTGCTTTATACTCATATTGTAATACACTTAATGACTGAACCAGATATTACTGAGTAAAGAAGGAAGTAAGATTGGGGAGAACTAACTTCTTACAGAAAAGCTCTCTCTTTACAGATGCTGTCAAGGTACACAGGGGTGAAGAGATAGATGAGGAATTAAATGTGTTATTGCAGGTTTCCCAGAAGTAGAGCCTGACAGAGCGTTTTTAGCAAGGGATTCATAGAGGTTGTGTTGTTTAAACTTTAGAAAAATTAAGGCAGGGAAGAAATGAAGGACTGGGAAGAAGAATAAAGTGAGCGAGCATGAGGTTGCGGGTAACACGTAGATTTGAGAGAATCCACGTAGGCTCTGAAGCATAAGCTGCAGCTCTGAATTGTCCGTGCTGTCTTAGCCGTACAGTGAGTGGGGAAGGTACCTTCTAGGAGAAGTGTGTGTGAGTGTGTGTGAGTGTGTGCATGTGTGTGTGTGTGTGTGTGTGTGTGTGTAGTATATGTGAGTGAAGGGGCCACCCAGCGTCTCCACGGAGACTGTCCAAGGGCTGTACCTGGACTTTTCCTGGATCTTGAATATCAATACATAAGGCAAGACTCACAGACGCAGCAGACGGAAAGCCTGGGCTGCAGATGCGGTGATAGAGAATTTATATTTTCCTCTGTGTCCCGTGGATCATGTGAGGTCAAAAGCATGCTTCACCAGTGTGTGTGGTTCTGGCAGGGCGAGGCGGGACTGGAGTAAGGGAGAAAGTACAAATGCTTTTCTTGGGGAATTTTTCATGTTTTTCTTACAAAGTATTAATTAAGAATTAATATCTACGGTGTGAACTCTAATCTCTTAGAGTCAATACACTGAAAACTCATTTTTCATGGTATTGTGAGTATTCAGAAAACAGAAGCACTTTTAAGGAACTTTAAGAGCACGAAACAAGCTCATTTTGTTTCACATCCATTAGTGTGTTTTAAGGGCCTGGTAATGTCTATTGGTTCTGCTGGGTCTCTCTTATTTTAGAGAAAGTTGAAGCAGAAAAATAATTATTTGATTGGCATTTGTTTAAAGAAATGTGCTATTTGACATAGACATTGGCTTTACTTAACTCTAAGTTTTATTTCCACTTTTCAGTTCAAGAAACCATACGTTTAGAAAACTGGAAATTGATAGGCCTGGAACTTGAAACTGAAATTGTTTATTTCTAAGCCTGGTCCCTTCTTTAAAATGTGTTACTGCCCATTTTCTGCTATTTATAACATACTTAACTTGGCAAACTATTTCAGACATTTTTGGAAGAAAATCCTGTGAACGACAAGCTGAATAATAAGAATTCTTGGGGACCTGGGTAGCTGATTCCTATGGAGAAAAGATATTAGCAAAGATTAACAAACAGAGCATAATGCTTTAGGAAGTTTGCATTAGCATCATTTTATGTGGTTGGTTTTCTACATAATAACCTGGTTTCTGTCTAGCTCTCACATTTCCAGCACATATTATTCATACATGTATGGTACATAAGTTTCGGTGGATATGGGAAAATAATATGAGAAATAGTGGTGAATATTTTTGAAAATTTAAAGATTTCTTAGGAACATAAGACATTTAAATATTTTTAAATAGATTTAACATAGATTGATTGCATAAAGAGTTCACTGATTTTTACTTTTTTAAAATAAATGCTTTAAAAGTTACAAGTTTCCATTATTAAAAATATTAATATCTCTTTGACAATTACTACAAATACCAAGTATTAATATTTGTTAATTCTCTTATACATGTATTTACATTTTATTCTCTTATATACATATTTACATTTTCTTCTCAATCTTATTAACAGTGGTATAACCTCACATATATAATCATTCCTCACTTTATAAAATTATCCTAGCAAACAAAATTTGCCTTAAATTCCTATTTTAGCTTCCAATTGCCTTACTTACTAATTGCTGTTCTAAAACTTTCACCAAAGTAACAATTAATAAGCTGAAACGCAATATCTACCATTTTAATGTAGCAAACAATGTAGCTAAAGGCTTGCCATAGGGGCTCCTCTTCTTCCTCATAATTGCTTCTCTTATGATTGTTTTGAAAGAGAATTAAAGACACAAACTTATTCACTAAATATCAAGTAGCTTGATTCCAAACCTATGTTCTTGTTTCTTATACTTGATTTAGTGGGTTTGTTTTCTTTCTTTCTCAATCTTTCAAATATTTTTTATTTGTGTTTAATAGTTTATTGTCAGCTGGGAAACACAGAGCAGCTCTGGTGGTGTGCGGGGATGTGTGTGCCGTTTGTCAAAGAAAAGTAAAACAAATATGTAAACGGTCAAATAAAAAGTTTTCTAACATGTAGTTAGCTTTCCAATTTTAAAGACTTCCTTGCTGAACAGTGGCAGATATTTTGAGTAAAAACTGTCATTTGTTTAGTTCTTCATCTTTGGAGTAGCAACTTCTGGGCAGCATGGATGTCTCTCAGAGTTTCCTTAAAGCAATTTGCAACTTTTGTAGAACACTGTGTTAAAGGTGGAGCTGTGTTAAAAATGAAAGTCTCAGGGAATGTCCAAGTTCTTACTTTCTGAATTTAAACATCCACTAAGAAGGAAGTAGCAGTTTCCTTTGTTTTCAGACTTGGAGGGAGAGTTCAGTAAATTAGAATTGTAACCTTTGTGAAAATATAGAGTAAAAATGAACAGCCTCAAGAACATTGTGTCGGCTGATGTTGTCTGACAATGATGGACAGCAAATCCATCAGAAATGCCGACAAGAGTCGTTCAGTTTTGGCTGCAGGTAAGATTTAAAGCTCACCAGAATAACTTGTAGAAAACCGGTTTTATTCACTGTATCCTTAACTAATTTCCTTAGCCCCTGTAAGCATGGATTAAAAAGAGAATGAAAACTTTCAAAATCATGTCAAAGCTTTTCATGAGCCTGAAGCACCTTGGTGATTTAGCATAAATCAGAAATGCATATGTTCTTTACCTGAGAAACTAAATGCTGAATGGGTGCAAAACAAGGATTTTGGTCCTTGAGGAAACCTCAGTGTTAATGTACTCGGAGTCTCTTAAAATGATGGGGCTCTCTGCATAGTAACATCTCTGCAGCGGCTCGCGACACCTACTGGGGTTTGGGAATTAATCAGTCACTGAGACAAGGAGCTGGCAGGTGTGATCAGTGTAGGCTTCAGCAGCGGCGTCAGCTCTGGCTAGTTTATGCCACTGTACTCCACAGCAAGTATGTTTTACCAATGGCACAGTCTGGCTGATAGCGATTTGTTTTTTTAATTGCAAATATTTCCTTTTTTGGCTCACTACATACTGATATTTTACTTTTTCCATATTTCTTTTTATTGGCATATGTCTGCATAATAGCTGCATTTATTGGGGAAGTGGTACATCTACATATTGAAACATGCCTTAGTTACTTTTTACTCATCACTGAGACAAAATACCTGACCCAAAGCTGGGAAAGGAAAGGTTTATTTCTTACAGAGTTTGGAGGTTTCAGTCCATACTCAGTTGGCTCCAAGGCCGGGTGGCATGGTGGGGCCACAGTTCATGGGGGCTGCAAACAGCAAGGCAGAAACCTGCAAGAGAGACACACACCTTCTTCCTGCCATTACATCACATCCTGGCTCCACCCCTATGTGGGTGTAGCACTGACACCATCAATCCAAGTGCTATACAATGAACCAATCACAAATGCACAATGCAAATGCATGAGGCCTGGGGGCCACCGACATAAACCATGACAAAACATAATCACTTTAATTCTCCCTCATCCTCTCAACTTCAAATCCTCATCTGCCTCCACACAGTCTGCCTCTGTTATCCATTATCTTATATTTTGTTCTTTCAATTACATTTTGGATTTCTTCAATAAGAGAAATCATGTGGCATTCCGTCTTCTTTGATTTATTTCATCTAGCATTTTGGTTTGCACATCCCCATTTTCCTACGAGTTACTCTAATGTATCCTTTCTGTTTGTTCTGCAAACAGAAGAATTCATCAGAATTTTGGTTTTGTGTGAGGACTCCGTATTGGGTGATGAGGCCGTCTTTCTCACGTGAATATAAGTGAGGTTATCGTTACCAGAATAGTGGAATGAATTAAATTCATGACTGAGGCGCCGCTGTATGTATGTCATGTTTACCCATTCTTCCTCTGGTAAAAGAAATTATTTTGCACCACTATTATGGAAGTCCTTGGTGTAACAAGGCTCTAATTCTAGCCGTGAGATGAGCTATGCAGTTGGAACAGTTCAAACACTGAGTTGAAGAACCAATCAATCAGAATGCAGAAAATACAGCCCTGTAGTTCCCAAGATAAAGTCCCTGAGAAAGAAAGAAAGAACCCACAGCCGAAAGTTGAAAAAAATCCAAACTTGAGCATAGTTTCATAAAAATAGGAGCAGAGTAGGAACAGCGGATGAAAGATCTAACAGCCCCTCTAAGTAATTGGGTAGTTTGGTGTCATTTTCCTTCTTCTGGTTATAGAGATGAGCCTGACAGACTGCAGTAGTTGGGATTGGAAGCCATCTATATAATGTCCGACTGTATGACAGGTGTTTAAATAACGCTTATATTTATACACAGCTATCTAAAAGGATTGATGTAAATATAACTGTAGCAGAATAAACATAGAACACATGGATTGTTAAGGGCTGGCATTCTTGTTTTTTTCACAAGTAAAGGAGACAATCAGCAAATTCCAATTTCAGTAAGTGAAACGGTAAAAATGGGAGAAAAAATTTGGTTTGTTTTAGACTTTATCTCTGTGTGATAAAGAACATTGAATTCTTAATAAATACCAAAAACTTCAAGAGTACAAATCAACTTTATTACTCAGGATAAGAAATTTTACTTATTACAATGTAAAAAATAAAATCATTTGAACAATTTTCAGTATAACCCATCAATTTTGAATACCGATCACAAAGTACATAAATACATGTGTATAGTGAAATTCTGTATAAAATTCACAGTTAGGTGCATCTGATTGTGCAAAATACAGGAAGACAACACCATCAAAGAATTCTTATTTAAAACACAGTAAAATGATATTGACCTGCAGGAAACACTGGACATCTCTGTACATCTGTTCATTGACTAATTAATGAACCAGCAAATGTTTATTTTTTGGAGAAAATCAGCTAACTCATGATTGTGCTATGTGTCCTTTGCGGCAACTTTGTGACATGGAAGGACACATTTCTCTTAATTAACACCACTAGCCATGAAGAAAAGTTAGCAAAGCATATTTCACAACGAGTTTTGATTTGTAGGAGTTTCAAATTCAATAGAAAGACCTAGTATAAGACAATTATTTATGTTCTGGACATTTGAAATAAAATTTTCCTTAACCTAAACAGATCGATGCTATTTTTCTTGTGAAATAATTATTGCACCACAGGATGAAAATAATTTATAGTTGCACATTAGAACTTTTCATAGTCATCTTGAAACCAGTGTCAGAAGGACTCTGGCTTCAGATGAAAGGTGTAGAAGGTGTCAGATGTTTGAAGAGAAAATCGCCATGGGTAAATAAACTGAGTAATCAAAGATATATTAAATAATTAATTAATTAAGAGGTTGTGGGGTAGGAATTTGGAGTTGGTACAAACTAGTAAGTTCTTGGAAGATCTGGAGGAGTGGAGAAATATATTTATGAGGAATTAACTCCATACTGATGCACTATGACACAGCACAGAGTAAAAAGCCTGGGGATTGGACAATTCATACAAAAAAGAAACAAGAGGATTTGGAGACTGATTTAATGGGCATGGTATCTAAAAACAATGGAACATCAAAACTGAGTCCAAACATTTCAGGCTGAATTACAATATTGCTGCTAGAGAGCAATTGAGACGCTAAGCCAAATGGTGAGGTGGTCATTCTTTTCTCCTCTGAATGTCAGCTCGGATTTACATAAGAACTGAATGTGAAGTAAACCCCATGACCAGCAGGCTGCTGAGTTGAGAGACTGCATATGCTCTGGGAGGCGGACAGCTACAGGAATTAACGCTAGATAAATGTTAGTGAACTCTGAGTGAATAGGACACAAATTTTCGAATAGAATCTTCCATCTGGATAATATCTCTACAGGACTGTGCTTTTTGAGCATTAATTACAGGTTATGTCTTGTGCAAAACCTAATGACAGATGAAGAATCAGAAGGTTTTAATATTCCTTCTCTAATATTCCTTCTCTAACGTCTGGTTAGAGAAGATTTTATGAAAAGTAAACTTAGGAAGGACATATAATGAATTTCCTTTAAATGATGTGTTTCCATGTTTCTCATCATGACCTGTATTTAACATTATTGTTACCCCTCTGGATTGACATATGGGGTCACAATCAGTCCCCTCTCAAAGTTAAGCCGATCAGGATAAGGCAGGCACATACTGCAGAGTGGACTATGCTTTGTTCAAAGAGAGTTTGGCTCAGTATTCACAGAGGTATTGCTCAGTACAATATCAGAAATATACCTAGGGAGGAAAGCACGTAAGACAATTGTATTGTATCCTGTTTTCTCTCCATGATAAACTGGGTGATCATCCTCAGAAGCAGGTGTTTGTCATCGTTTTAGATGCTTGTCTGTTAGTAGCCGCTTTTCTTAACCTAGTCATAGACTGCAGAGGATGTTACTAGGTGCCTGATGGTTGCAAAGAAGTGGCAACATATTCTCAAATAAGTGTTCACCAGATGGAGAAAATGTGATTTTGTATGGCTAGGAGCATGACAATTTGTATTAAAAAGCCAATGGTTAAGAATCAAGAGAAAAATGCATTTAGTATGCAGTTATTAAGTTACACCTAGAATAAGTGATTGGACCTTATTAGGAAAGGATCTCCGAAGCACAAGTATTACTAGCAAGTACCTGGGAATAACAAAACCTTAGTCATCCATCATGAAACGTGGTCATTAAAGGTGTTCGAGCAAGGGAAAAGCAAAAGTTACAGTGAAACACTTCCCGTAAAATATTTATTAGACGTAATATTCTAATAGTGGAACAGATTTATGGCTTTTTAACAATACGCTCATACACTATTTTCACCTTCTGCTTCCTTCTTTTCCTCCTGGTTTTGATTAGTCCCTCTTTTGACTTTCTTTTGATGAAACCTACAAGAGGAAAGGCAAAGATTTATGAATTTATGAATTTTACCTGTAATTTCCTCAAATTATCGTCTAATGTTGAACCTAAGAGATACAGTGGGTTTAAAAGTCTGAATTTTGTCTTTTGTAGGAAAGCTTGTGTCTAATAAACATTGCATATGTCACTTAGCAAAACAGGTTAAAAGTATTTTTTTTTTTAGTTAAAAATCCATTCTTATTTTACTGTAAAAAAGCCGAAGTAAGGGTATGCATGGTTATTGGAATTATAGATGATTTTTACTTGTATTTCATGATTTTTGCATGTAATTATAAACATTTTCATATTCAGAAGAAAACACATTAAAATTTGGTAATTTGTAAGAAAGCTCAAGGAAATTTTGTTATATTGCTTTAAGATAAATTTTTCATACTTAAGTTTAATAAAACATTGAATGTCTTGATTTTTGTCTATGATGACACACAAGAAACGATTACAGTGAATAAAGTCTGTAATATATATTATCCAACTCCAGCTGAACCAACATGTACAAGCCAAATCTTACTTTTTTATAATAAAGGAAATTAATATTTTACAGATTAAAATCACCTATAATATTAATGTAATTATTATCTTAAACACTGTTGAATTAATAGAAAGATTATCTGCATACCTTTTTGGCATGCTCTCACACATGCTCTTTTAGAAGCAAAATTGTTTTCATTTCCTCCGCATCCACTGTAGCTAAATGGACGGCACCTTCGGATGGCTGAGTTGTAGAAGAATCTCGTTTCATTCGCTCGACACATTCCTCTGTCTGCTGGGGTGAGACACCATGAAGGTCCCTGGAATTCTGAAAACATGGAAATCCTTATGTGATGATGGATACCGTATTATTATACTAGATACATAGCACATCTTTATAAGGTAGCTATCTTAATGTGTAAAATAGTATATATTAAAAATTATGTGTTTCAGTTCCCAGAAAATGCTGAAATATACTCCAGGATCAACTGTATTGATATCTTTTTCCATGAATAAAAAATAGACACATTCACTAATGGAAAATCTTAGGATCACTCTATATGAAGAAACTTTGTACATAATTAAAATAATCATTATTCAACACTTCAACTTCCAAGTGATATAGTATGAAGTGTAGGAATTCAGGTACTGAAATTTCGGGGAAGGCATCCTGGAGATGTTTGACTTGGTAATAGCATATTTGTATGTGTGTGTGTGTGTGTGTGTGTGTGTGTGTGTGTGAGTGGAAGCATCAGTTCTGGGCTAAATAATTAAATGTTTTTGCAAAGGAAGAAACATTGCCAAGCTAGCAAAATAGAATACTAGTTTGGACAAAACAGACAAGCAGGTCTATCAGTGAGACCAATGACTTTCACACTCATTCCTTGAAGGAAAAGGAGAAAATTAGTTTCAGCTTAATGGCACTTTTTAGTTCCTCTGTACACTTCTGTTAGAGAGCCAGCTGGTGTTCTTCAACAGCCCAGGTCAGAGGCTTGATGTTGTGAGCCCGGTTCTGTAGGTAAATTGTGCAGCATGGAATCTGTGTCAGGAAACTTTAGTAGCTTTGCCAAACAGTCAGACGTGTTACAGATCATGCAGGTGAAGATTTGTTAGACATTCAACATTGGCAGAAAATAAAACTTCAAGGAATTCAGTAGCCAACAAAGGCAAATGACAGTGTTTTTTTTTTTTTTTTTCTGTTTTGCAAATTAGCCTCAGATGAAGAGGAAGTAAAAGAGAAGACCTAAAATGAGGGGAAAATAATCTTAATTTGGATAAACATATTCTTACTATGTCCTCTTTCTAAATATTTAAGTAGAGATTAAAGTATATTGAGAAAATAACTCATGTAATAAAGTCGATTGGAAAACATTAGAGGAAATAAATATAATGGGAACAATATATGAAATTTCTTCTGCAAATGATAAAGGGGACCAAGAGACCAAGGGTGGGGGAAGGAAAGCAGGAGAATATAAAAAGATTTAAAATGTCTCATATACATGTACCAGCAACCCACAATGCATGCAATCTTTATATGTCCCAAACATGAACTATAAAAAAAAGACAATAATAATGAAAACGGGGCAAGAGAATCTAGACCTAGGAAGGGAGATACGTGGAGAACAAGAGAGAATAAAAAGGTAAAACAAGTATGTACACACATTCCCTAAGATGAATGGAAATAACCATCACGCACTGCAAACATGTAGTAATGAACCAAATAAAATAATGTCAGCAAAGGAAATAAAAATCAGAAAGGTGATATTTTGAGGTCAAAATTCAAGAGCTAAAATCACAGAATTTTAGGTTTTATGTAGGTTTTGAAAGGTCTATAAACACTGCTTTACAAAGGAATTCTGAGGATTTGTAAAATCAAAACATTCCAAATAGTACACTTCAGATTTATTCATCTTGCTTTGTATCTGTGGACACGATAATTTGACGTTAAGATGCATTTAGGCAGAATGTCTTAAAGTTACTATAAAATGTTGATGTCTTCAGTCTCCTTGAATAGGTTATATGAGAGGATACTAAGGATCCAGGAGAGGTACGGTGCAGCTGTGTCCTGCTATTTTACACAGTACTCTAGTGAGGATCCTGTGGGTGGATTCTCATCAGCCCACACTTGGAATATGACATGGTTACAGCTGCTGCCACGCGATCTCAATTTCATGAGCTTTAAAGGTCTGCACCTACCTTCAGAAACAAAACAGATGAGAATATTTGCCCCTATTTCAAGGAGCCAGGGGAACTGGTTTTCTTTTTGTTGTGTCTCAGCAAGCATTCACGAACACGAATAATAAAACAGGACTCACACGTTAGTTTCACCTTAGCATTTGTGCATAAGCAGCAGCAGCAGCCCGCAGTGAGTTGCAGGTAAGATTGTGAATGCACTTGTAAATCGCACCTTTCTTGACAAATGTTAGCACTTACGTTTTAATAGCAGTGCCCTCCCTACAACACCGAAAGCAAGGACAGAAAGAATTTTCTGTTGACAGGGAGCAAACATCTTCTTTTCTCCTTAATACACGACCTGCATTAAACCTGGTCTCAAGCAGTTTCCAAGCGAGGGCAAGTTAACCTGGTCCACACAGGTTCTGAGTCCCTAGACCAGAAGTGGCCAAGAAGGAGACAGTCACCAGAGACAAGGGGCCTGGAGGCAGGGGAACTGGGGCCATCATGCGTCTCTCCAGGAGAGCTGCAGCCACCAAGGGCATGGCGGCAGGTGTCCTGGGACAGGTAACTGGAAACTCTTCCCCTACCATCCAGTCACTCAGCTATGTCTGCTGCTGACCTTCTAGCCAGAGGCTGGAAGACAAGAGTTTCCCAGCATGCGGCACAGGGCAGTGGGGAGCCCAGGCTTTGGTGTGAGAACCAATGGAGAGCTGACTGGCACAACTACATTTGCAGGAAGTCTCACGACCACTTAAACTATCCGAGATATCCCGCTGCCTCTACCTGCCTGCCTTGTGACTTCAGAATCTGAGAGTGCCTGGCATTGTCCTTCTGACAGCAGCCCGTGGTGGGCAGATGAGCACTGGCCAGGACTGACCCATGCCCTGACAGTGGATATTTAGTCTTGTGATTTTTAGGGCGACAGGGTTCATCCAACACAGTGCAGCTTTGCTACCTTGCACCAGAAACAGTTTCCATAATGGGCTAAGAGTTGAGATTAACCACTGAGGATATTGTAGGACACATAGTTAATTTTTAGAGGTGTTTACCAATGCAATAAATTATCATCAGTTTGGGGGTCTTTTGAGAAAAACTCTTCAGAACTTGGATTGCATCTAAAATGTCAATACTTAGTTCTTTACCAATCATTTTAACTTTTTTTTGTCTGTTATTTGGTATTTAAGATTGAACCCAGGGTCTTTGCACTGAGCTACATTCTCATCTTGTTTTAATTTTTTTGAGACAGGGTTTTGCTAAGTTGTTAAGTTGACCAGACTGTGCTCAAACTTGTGATCCTCCTGTCTCAGTTTCCCAGAATGCCAGGATTGGAGATGTGTACTAGCAGGCCTAAATTATTGGGTGACAGAGGCATGGATCTCAGTAGAATTAAACATTCCTAAAGACGTATTAGATTAAAGATTTTCTGAGTCCTCCATTAGCATCCTGTTACATCTCCAACTCTCTAGGGAAGTTCAATTTTTTGGCACACCGTAGAGAAAAAAGCTTGCCCTTTTCAATTAACATATTTAATCTATACAGAGACAGGCACTCACCTATTCAAAATCCAGACTTTAATATCTAAAATAAAAGGAAATATAAAGGTTTTGAAGCAATTACATGATGTGGTTTGTTTGGTCTAGGTTATAATTATTCACAGAAATTTAAGATAAAATAAAAAGACACTAACCTGACTTTTGTTCATTTTCCAGAGAGATTGAGAAATGCATTCTGTCTTCATCCTACCATTAACAACAAGTTGAGTAGCTTCCATCTAGGAGATTCTGAGAGATTTCTGAACTCAGGATTCCTTCCTGTTTTCTGTTGGGAACTACCATGCTCTAGTGACACTACTATAATGCAAGAGGTTGTGGAGTGTTTGACAGGCCAAGTGGTTTGCGTAAGTGTCCTCTGAAATTTTCCCAGTGAACCTTGAAGTTTGTACTCACTCTCAGTAAAGTAATATCTTTCCTTCTCTTCAACTATACAAGCTTTTTAGGCTTTTACGTTACTGAGCAGATTAAAATATATGTGCCAACTCATGGCTTGTTGATTAATTTATTTTATCTTCTGAAGCATTTAAGAAATTTAATAGTAAGTTTTTTTTGTTTTTGCCCTAGAATTTTGTAATAAAGGGAAATATTTTTAAAAAGGTATTACAAATTAATTTTGTCAAGTTTTAAAAAATTTACAATGGTGACAAATGTAGAACAAAAGTGCTTCATTGTTGGATTTTTATCCTTTAGTCACTCTTAATTGTTCAGTAAACATCTTTCCCAAAATTGTTTTCATATGCAATTATGTTCTACCCTATCTATTGTGATACTTGATAGTAATACATAGCAATGCTTTATGATTTATATGCTTATAGATCATTTTTAAATTTATGTGCAATAATTCATTTTATGAATTAATTTCAATATATTTTGTCTATTACCCACTTGTCTAAGTTATTTCAATTAATCTCTTAATTCCACAATTCTTATGAATAGCTTTTGTTCAGAAGGTTTTGGGGATATATCTAAAATTAGAATGGTATTAAAACTATTCAATTTATAATTTGGTAGATGTTGCTCAACTTTTCACAAAAAGTAATGTGTTTATGTGCATACAATCATGTTTTAAAAGAGCATAAACATTAGTCAACATATCAAAGATTTTATTGCATTGTGTTATTTGCTATGGATCACTTTTTCTTCTTCTCCACACCAATGAAAAGTAGAAAAATACTGAATGGGACAAATAATTCCTTATAGTTTCTCCAGTATTTTGTAAAATATCACTTCCATAAAATCTAAGCTGCTATTTATTATAAGATTCATTATTTTATATAGTATTTATAAAGAAAAGCGTAATTATACTAGTATACACTACATCACAAGCTTCATTATGCTTACAGGCATGTTAATGTGTTGAGAAATATACATATTAGATTAAATAATTACAATTAATTATCATTTTATTAGTAAAATATAATTTTCTGTGTTTTGTGTGAACACAGAAAGTTTGCTTGAATACATTAGAATCATGCATATATAAGACTGGAAAATAATCCATATGTTATCTCCATTGGTCAAAAAGCTAAGAAAATGAGCAATAAGTGGAAAAACCAATTATTACAGAGACAGCTTTATCAGGTAATATTATATTTCCAGT